AGTTAGAAAGAAATAGCCCAAGTGGGARAACCCTAGACTAAGGCCACGGAGTTCATTCATTCTTTCATTCATTCCTCAACGGTGTTATAAACAACTGCTCAGTGGTAGGTACTGTGCATGTGCTGGAGTAGAGGGAGGGAGGTGAGGGGCAAGATGAGGTGTGAGAGAAGACTCTGAAGAGAGATCAGACGAGGCTTGAGAGAAGGCACCCGTGATCACTCTGCTATGGGCAGCTTTTAGTGTCCATGGTTGAAGAGCAGGTGTAGGGGATACTGTGATGAATTTAGTTTGGGATATGTTAGGCAAGATGTCTACATGTGAGAGGTCCACGGGGCCCCTGTAATGTGGCCAGGTCCTTTGGAGCCAACGCCCGTGATGGGTGAACACATCAAGTAATTGAAGTCCTGGGAGTTGGTGATTCTGCCCAGGACAAAGCACAAACATGAGCTTGGGGTTTGCTGAAGGCCTCGTAAAAGTGTCCTGGCCCATCAGCACCCGGGGGCAATTCTTTCCCAAGGTGATCAGTGTCTTGGGAGCSAAGAGAAAACACACAATTGTGTGAGTCTGGGTGTAGGGATGGGMAGGCCCTGAGGTAGGGAATTGAGGGTGTTCCCTGGAGTGTTGCCAGGGACTCMGTAGATGAGAGACCAGGAGGCACTGGTTCCCTCCTCCAGATWTTTGATGTGGAGGAGCCAGTCTCCAGGGCTAAGCAGAGTGGACCCTGTCTCACTACCTGCTGAGGAGGGTGTGAAGGCGTTTGCCTGTGTGCATCAAGTTTTCAGCCTGGCTGGGCTGCAGGTTCACCCTGGCAGCTGGGTGAAGGTGAGCTCTCAGGACAGCTTGTACTTTCTAGAACAGTGTAGTGCCCACTCTCACTGAATCATGGCTTTTTTCTTCTGTAAATACTTAAGTTATTTATAACATTCACTCYTCTAAAACATTTCAACTTTCTTCCGCGATCCTCTTCTTATTCAGATTTCCTTTTCTTCCTCTTTGAAAAGTTCAATTTAAGGATTTCAACACTATTGATTCTAACTTGTGAGTAGATGGAGTGGGCCTGGCATGACCTGAGGAGTTCTGGCGACAGCCCCTGTGGAACTGTGGTGAGGCTTTGTTTCGGGTAGAACGATGACATATGAATTTTCATTTTGGAAACTCAATGAAGCCCAGAGGGTGCCTACTCCACTGCCTCTCTTGCTTTCAGTGTGGGTTTTTTATTTTTTATTTTTTTTTTTGTGTGTGTATGTGCCAATAACTAAATGTAGGGCTCTTAGAAGCCAAAGGTACCCCTGAAGGGTACTGATAGCCAATTGGGAGGCACTGAAGGTTTCGATCCGGGTCATTTCCCTCTCTTTCCATCAGTTACTTCTGATAGACTATACTCAGCTAGGCTGATAATAASTTAATTCAAGACCCATTCAGCTGGGAGTTAAGAGGGCAGATGAGAGTGGGGTCCTTTAAGAGAAGCAAGATGTGACAGGGAGTCACCTCCTCCATCCACTCTCCTCCATCGACTTTATCCAGACAGGATCGGCAGGAAGCAGAAAGCAGGCCAAGGCAGAGGGCAGGCCTGACAGTATCCATAGCACCTAGTCTGGTCATGCTGGTCACTGCATGTACAAATGCTCTTTATGGTTAGTTAAAAGTGTCTGCCCTGCCACCCAGGACTTTGTATCCCTTTCCCATATCCAGCCACTGAGGGGTTAATGTTTGGCCCCAATCGGGGTGGGCCTTGCAGACTATCAAATATCTTGGGTGACTCCTGAAGAACACRCTGCAGCAGGGGAGAGACTGGCCTCACGCAGCCTGTAGCCCACAGTTGCAGGGTCTTCCTGCTTTTTTGGCTTTGCCAGCAACACCAGGATGTAGTTTTGGTGCCATATCCTGGGCATTTCTCATACTTGGTGGAGGGTCAGGGAGGGTAACGGAGGTTTGGGGACCACTGTTTACAAAGACAACAGTCCTCTGTTAGTCAGAGGACTGCCGAGGAGGGCTGTCACTCAGGGTAGAGAAACTTTCCAGAATCTTCTGAACCAGGGCCGTGGGGGAGGTTCATACTTGCCCTCCTGCCTACTCCCGTTCCGACAACCCATGACTGCCCCCACGTCAGAACCTCATCACTCATCAAGGAGACAAGGGATCAACAAGTAGTTTTGGGGGTACATCAAGCATTGGAGCCCAGGCCAGCTTTCAGAAATAGGAGGTGGGGGCAGTTTTTATAGACATTATAAACAGGAAAATTAATCTCCAGGATCTTCCCTCATGAAGAAATCCTTAGGGACTTACAAAACTAGACCACATTAAGACATTTGGGCTGCTTTCCAAAGCAACAGGGACTTAACCAGATAAATTCATTGAAAAATATTTTGAAAATTGCAAAACAATCTGGCCTTGGGTAACACTGCTTCCAATAATGAAAGGTTTGCTTTGAGAAATATTTCCCACCCATATAAGTTGAATGCCATACATCATAAATAGATTCCTATTTCAGCCAAGTATATATATATATATATATATATATATTTTGTACCAGGGATTGAATTCAGGGACACTTGACCACTGAGCCACATCCCAGCTCTAATTTGTATTTATTTACAGACAGCGTCTCACTAAGTTGCTTAGCAYCTCACTTTTGTTGAGGCTGACTTAGAACTTGTGATCTTCTTGTCTCAGCCTCTCGAGCTGCTGGGATTCAGAAGTGTGCCACTGTGCCCGGCTACTATCAAGTATTTTTTTAATAATAATAATGATACACAATCTTTGTTCTGTGCTAGGTGCTTCTAAAGCAGGACATGTATAAACTTCTTTAATCTTTGCCATCTACCTGTGAGGTCAGGCTTTTGTTGTCCTTGTTAAACCAAAGAGGAAACTGAGACACAGAGAGGTTAAGTAACTTGCCCAAGAAAACAGCCACAGGCTGGTGGAGCACTGCTAGGCTATCCTATTGCTCCCAGCTCTCCCCACCTAAGAGGTGACTGTAAAAATCAAAGGTGAACAGTGCTCTAATAGATGCCCTGGTGTCCCTGATTGCTGCCACTATCCCTGTCCACCTGCTTCTTTAAGAGTTTGCAGCAAGATTTTTTTTTTCTTTCTTCAGAATGTTTTTGAATCATCATAGAAAGGGTTCTGGCTGACTCATGGGGATTTTTGATCCTCAAAATAACATGGTTGTATGGCTTTAAGAATTGAAAACTTCATTTAACTCTTGGAGCTGCTGTGTCGAGAATGTGTTTAACATCTTGGGAAGATCAGTCCCATCGGGATGGTACTAATTGACTGGAGACTTGGGTCCGTCCTGGGTCTGTCCCTGCACACATGGGTTCTGTCTGCCTTGTCATCCCTTTCCAGAGTTCCTGCCACATGGTCCCCATCTTGGCTGGCTGGGTTGCTCATCTCATTTATTTATTTGCCACCTCTTTAAAATGTCATTCGGAGGCATCTTCCCCTCCTTTTCAAGTCCAGCGCTCTCCATGGCTGTGGTCTGAGTTCACTTCAGTTCTGCCCACTGACCTGAGTCCTTGGTGCTGTGTGCCACGTGCTGGAGTATCAGAGATAGAACGAGACAGGCCACTGTCCTGGAGAGGGTCCCTGTCTATTTTCCCCTGCTGGCCCCTGCCTGGAAGGACTGAAATACAGGGAATGGAAGATGCCCTGGCAGCCAAGCAAATGGTGGTTGCTTCCAACTCACTGTACAGCGCACACTCGACTCACACGGGCAGGCAGGGCGCACAGGTGGAACTAGATGTGTCGGAGCTTGAGCTTTACTCCTTAGTTGGATATTACTTTTTGGGGGCTTTTTCTAGTCTAGGGACCAGGGAATAGAAACTGATGACCAGAGCTGGGTGCAGTAGCACATGCCTATAATCACAGCAGCTGGGGAGGCTGAGACGGTAGGATCGTGAGTTCAAAGCCAGCCTCAGCAAAAGTGAGGCGCTAAGCAACTCAGTGAGACCCTGTCTCCAAATAAAATACAAAATAGGGCTGGGGATGTGGCTCAGTGGTCAAGTGCCCTGAGTTCAATCCCTGGTATCCCTCCCCAATAGAAACTGATGACAAGACATATATCTTTTTGGCACTGAATCAACAGGGCAGGTTACTGCAGGTACTGAGCTATTTAGGGAGACGCTRGAGACATGTGGTGACTCCAGATGACAGTGATGGGAGGAGGCAGGTTCTTATTGATCTTGTAGCCAAAGTGCTTGGACCAGGGGTACTGAGATAGGAGGGGTGCCCTATAAATGTTAGCTAAAGTTAATGAAATAAAGATGGGTGCCTCTCTTCTTTTTTATTTTTTATTTATTTTTTTGGTACCGGGGATTGAATCCAAGGGTGCTTAACCACTGAGCCACAACCCCATCCTTTTTTTATATTTTATTTTGAGACAGGGTTTCTCTGAGTTGCTAGGTTGCTGAGGCTGGCTTTGAACTTGCAATTCTCCTGCCTCAGCCTCCTGAGCCACTGGATTATGGAGAGTGCCTCTGTGCCTTGCTGGGTGCCTCTCTTGATTGTAAAAAAAGAAGAGGCACTGAGACACTCCCTCAGATAGACAGAATACATGCTAAGATGGTGGTGGTTTTGGAAGAGTATCAATTGAGGCAACTCAACAAGTGTGTGTGTGTGTATGTGTGTGTGTGTACGTGCATGCACACACACGTGCATCATACACACACATTTATATACTGTATATTTATTACATGTCCAATAACACTCATCACTTAGGGTATCCTGTGCGTGCTGTGGATCTTTCCTAAGCATCAGACCCAGAGTGGCCCCTCCAGCAGCCCTACCAAGGGCTGAGCCTAAGGGCAGCTCACACCCCAACCCATATTGGATCGTGGTTCCACTGACCAATGACAGTTTATGTTGATTTTGCACAAATTGAATAAAATATGTAAGATTTGTTCCCCACTGCTATAGTTCTTGATCCTTTTCTCCCTACTGGTGGCCCTGGGGACTTCATGTCACTGTTGCCTTGCATGACCCGAGGTTGGGGTACTTACCACAGTGCAGCAAAGGGGCCAGAACCACCAAAGCAGCGCCAGAGCCAAGAGCAGGAACAGAATCAGCAGGGCGATCGCCAGGATGGAGCCGTCCGACTGTGGGGCCAAGAGAAAGGCGGTCAGGAGAGGATGGACCACAGGGAGGTCTTCCCTCCCCAAATTCCCACTACCAAGGGCAGAGCTGAGGCCCAGAGAAGTGCTCAGTTTGCCAAGATCAAGGCTGAAACTCTGCCCAGCATGTTGGGTGAATAGCATCATAACATACTCGGTTTAGCCAATTTTTAAATGAAATGGACTTGACTTTTCAGGAAGGCCCTGCTCTTCTCTTTAAGTAAGAATTATAACCCTACAGGGCACTGAGATGGCCTCCCACTGCCCTCTGTCCCTGGAGCTTATTCCCTGTCCACTAACAGCCCCCAGCTCACTGAGACTGATGTTCTAGCCACTATCTGGGCAGATTCAGACAGTCCTACTCAGGATTCTGCTTCTCCCCCAATCCGAGTCAACAGATCATGTGGAAGGTCTTGAGCCCCAGGTTGAGATGCTGGGAGTGGAGGAGGGCAACTGCAGCTGAACCTGGGAGGTGAGGGTGGGGTGGCTGAGACAGATCAAGTGCTGTCAGGGCAACGGAGGGAGGGAGACACTCGAGAATAATTTCACCCATTTCCAAGCATGCCTAGGCTAGTCTGAAAATAGACAGGGTTGCTGTGGTTCAGATGGTGGTTAACATTTGCAAACAGAAGTTCCTTTGTGCATCAGCATTGTAGGCTGCTGATTCAAGGAAGCCACTTGAGATCACAGGTCTAAGTCTCCTCCACCTCCCTCCCTACCAGCTACTGAGAGCACAAAYGGGCACAGCTCTCTGGGGAGGGGGGGCCTAGGGACACATTGTTAGGGTATTGAAAGTGTCCTGAGTAAAACTGGACTTTTGGCTTAAGAAAATAAGGATGTTTGCATAAATAATAATACTAATAAAAAAAGAAAAGAACACAAATGTTTAAATGCTAAATAACACAAATGTTAAATGCTAAATAATGCATTATAGAATTACCACTGAAATTAGGTACTATGTCACCACTATTCTGTGAAACAATATTTAAATGTAATGGGAAAACATTCCTGGAATAAGGAGAGGGAATTTCTGTATATATGGGTCAAGAGTCAGAGGACAGAAAAACTGATTGTTTACTGAACTCTTTCACTGGTAGTTTACTGATATTTACTCACATATTAGTAGTAGTTTCATTGAGAGTAACCTTATGATAATTTAATTATTTTTTGAAAATCTGTATATTCTTTCTTCCTCTTTTATCATTTCATAATGAGAAAACAAAATTCCTGCAATTCCTCTTTAAAAATCCGGTGCCCATTCTGGTGTCAGAGCTCACTGAATCCAGGGATTCTTATCCAGGTCAGTGGATCTATCAGGTCCAGAGATGGGCTTAGGAGGACGGAAGCTGGTGACCTTCCTGAAAGGACACACATGATCTTCAGTGCCTCTAGGGGAGCCCGTTCACAGATTCTCGAAACTGTGGCCCTGCCCCACTTACAGAGGAGGGAGGTTGGGTGGTCTTTCCAGGGTAACAGAGCAAATTGAAGGGCAGAGCTGGAGGTGAGTCCCTCCCACTTGAATGCTCATCAGGGGCTACTGGAAGAGGTGTAAAGGCAGCTCTGACTCCCTGGAATTCTCTGGAATGTCTTTGACTGAAAAGCCAGGGAATTCAACACCCCCAGTCCCAAGCAAGAAGCCAAGGTTTGGGAAGGCCAGATTGCCCCTGGGGGAGCCACAGTCTTGGAAGCACAGGTGCAGGGCTGGGCTGAGGCAGGGGTGGGAAGAGTGCAYGGGGGCCAGACTCAACCATGATAGGGTGGATTCTCTGTCCCTGTCACATCATAACATGAGCTCTTGGTGGTAACGGGAAGAAATCACATGTATTTTCTAAACTTATTATTAGCCAAGGACAATCCTCCTAATCTCTGTTTCTACTTTCCATTAAATGGAGGTAATAAACCTCATCTGCCTCGTGGCACCAGTGAGGATAAAGCATAAGTAAGATGAAGACGGAAACATCTGGGCATCTGATGTAAGCCATCCTATCCAACACTGGGCTGTGATTTTCTCTCCCTCTGCTTCTMTGGACAATGAATACTGTGGGCATCTCAGATCATAAATCTGTTTGCACTTGGAATATAAACATGGGCATAAACCCGCCAATATATTCCAAGTGGTATGCGGAGGGACTTGAGGAAGTCACCGGTTGTCATTGAGTCTCCCTTTTCCTTACCTGCAAAACGGAGTGGTTCTGGCATACTGAGAAACTTATAAAACAAGTAGCCTTTTATTCAGACTTGGCATGCCATTTATTCATATCACACACAATTTCCATATTCTATTTTTTCATTTCAGAGAAAGAAATTGTGAGGACATGTGTTTATATCCTTGTGGAAGGAGAAGGTTCCCCGTGAGTGGCAAGGTTGAGGGACACACCCACTGAGGTGCGGGGAAGGGACACAGTGGGGGATTTCTCAGATTTGCACAAAATGAGGCTGGCTGGCTTTTCTTTGGCCACCTCTGGTCTGCCTCTCAGGAGCCACAGTTCTGCCTGGCTGTAGTGGAGGGCTTAGAAAGGGGCAAGGTGCAGAAAAGGAGGCCCTGGCCGATAAAACAGCCTCTTGAATTGCTGGGATTACAGGTGGGTGCTACTGGGCTAGGTTCTTTTCTTGAAGAGCTTACATTCTGGTGAGATAACAATAATAACTGTCATTAGTATAGCTAATACTTATTGAGCACTTACTATGTGCAGTGATCATTTTTTTCTGTGTACTAACATGCTTTCCATATGCCAGTTCATTTAATTTTGAGTTCAATAATTTTATTTTTGTTATAGATTAAAAATACTTAGGCAAGGAGGGGTGGAGAAACGTGTCCAAAGCCTCACAGAGAAGCCAGAATTTATTTATTTATTTATTTTTCATCTGAATGTGTAATTTATTATTTTTTTTTAATTTTTTTAAATTTTTTTTTTATTTATTTTTTTTAATGTTGGTTGTTCAAAACATTACATAGAGAAGCCAGAATTTAAATGTGGGCAACTTGGCTGCTTGTTTAACCAGCAGGGTATCGGTATTAGAAAGTAGCCAAGTGCTGAAGAACAGCGCCTGGGAACTAGCACTTCGCAGAGGAGGTGACACTCCAAGGAGCTGCTGCCTGCAGGCACAGGAGAAGCTGGCATTCCTGCACAGAAGGGCAGGCACAAAGCTCTGGGGTCAGGCAGGTATGGGGTGGGGGAATGGCAGAGAAGGTCCATGGAGTCTGCAGGCGAGAAAGGAGGGGGAATCCCTGCTGTGACAGGCCCTGCAAGCCCCATGTGGCTTCTATCCTGAGTCAAGGGGAACCCTTGGTGGCTATAAACTGGGAGCACTGGGGCACTGCTGTCCATACTGAAGAGGAATAGAACCCGAGGAGGGAAGGATCAGGGGTCTAAGGACAGGCAGGAGGCTGTTGCTAATATGCCCAAGTCTTTAGGGATGGCTTTTTACAGTGTCATTCCTGAGCACCTGCCTTTTATGAGATCACTCAGTACTCACTCCACTAACAATAGCTAACCATTACTGTGCTCTACACCTGGAGAAAAGTTCCTGGTTTTATGCAAAGTGACATTTCTCCAGCCATGTTTGATCTGCTCCTTAGGAATCACGTTTCCATCTGTGCTCAGTGCTTTCTTTGCATCCTCTTTAATTAGATGAGTTTCATTTAAAAAGCCTCATAGGAGAGGGTGTGGTAATCCCAGTGACTTGGGACAGGAGGATCACAAGTTCAAAGCCACACCCAGCAAAAGTGAGGTTCTAAATCAACTCAGTGAGACCCTGTCTCTAAATAAAATACAAATTAGGGCTGGGGATGTGGCTCAGTGGTTTTGTGCCCCTGAGTTCAATCCCTGATATGCAAAAAAAAAAAAAAAAAAAAAAAAAAAAAAAAATTCCAGGGCACAATATGCTCAGCCCTGCTCCTCTGGGCATTTGTATTTGGGATGTCAATCTGGGAGGTTGCCTGCCTTGAATAGCCAAATCCCTGCCTCATGGCTTTCTTGAATTCCTTCTGTTCCCAGATCCTGAAAGGAGGACATTACTTTGAAGACAAGGAGGGCATTGTTCTCAAAGGTATAGATTTGGAAACTTGAATAACAAAGACCTCTCCTACTTGGTTGGTGGAATCTAGGGATTCTGGATTTCTGACACATGGCAGGGGATGGGGGTGAGGAATCCCGTCTGGGCTTGTTTGCAACATGATAGGAGAGAGCCAGGCCTTGGATGATATAAACTCAGACACTGCTGCTCTGTTCTGTTTTGTTTTGGGAGTTGCCATGGAAAAGGGAGGAGCATAAAATGGAGAGGAATTAGAGGGAGACCAGGGGGACTTCAACCAATGTAAAGAAACTTTGTGAAATCCTGCGTTGGACTTGCACTGGATTCTACCTAATGCCCATGGCATAGGGTATAGTCAAGTGACTGTCCTGCTGGGCTTGAAGAACTGTCCATCAAGAAGGGCACCTCTGTCGCTCGCTCCTGATGCTTCTTTCTATGTTGGAGCACAGAGTGTGTCTGACTCTAAGCCTGTCTCTTCCTCTTTACTCATTCAGTAAATAAGGAAAGAGTAAACTGGGTATGTTGGGATGAGCTGTGTCCTTTCTTTCTGGGGAGCCTGAAATCCACAGGAAGGGTTGTCCTCAGTTATCCCAGGCAAGGTTTTACGAGGCCTGATGCTTACACAATTTGGGGGTGGGGAGGTAGGGGATGAAGAACCTCTTAAAGAAAAATAACATTACAATACAAAAGCAAAATTGTTAGGGTTCCTCCCAGGGCCTTAGAAAGGCCTAGAAGGGCCTGTTCAGATGAGGGTCCCTAAAGCTGAAGCTAATCAGCTCCCAGAAACTTGGCCCCTGGCCGTGCATCTTCCTGGCCAGGCCCCAGGCCTGTGATGAGCTGGTAAATCTATTTAATTCTGGGCTCCAGTTTCTAGCCATTTGCTGCCACACTCTGCCAAGGTCTTCAGCTCAGTCATAAAGACAACACTGAGGCTTTCATATATCATATTT